ACACACACACACACACACACTCACACACACACACACACACACACACACACACACACACACACACACACACTCACACACACACAACTGGTACTAGAGGAAACCCCAGACATAATAGCCCTCACAGAAACAAAGATCACGAAAACGATAACAAATGCAGTGTTCCCACAGGACTATTATGTTATGAGGAAAGAGAGGGAAGGAAGAGGTGGGGGTGGTGTAGCTCTGCTGGTAAGAAAAGGCTGGGATTTTGAGGAGATGGATATTCAGGGCTGTAAAGGTTTCAGTGACTACATAGCAGGTACTGTAACAAATGGAGGGAAAAAAATTATAGTCGCAGTCATATATAATCCACCACCAAATGACAGAAGACCTAGACAGGAATATGATAGAAACAACATGGCCACCATTAACATAATAGAAAGAGCAGCTTCTGTTGCTAGAGGGAATGGATCTGGACTACTAATTATGGGAGACTTCAACCATGGGAAGATAGATTGGAAGAACAGAGACCCGCATGGAGGACCAGAAACATGGAGAGCTAAGCTGCTGGACGTGGCAACAAGAAACTTTCTAAGCCAGCACACCAAAGAACCAACAAGAATGAGAGGAGAAGATGAACCAGCAATGCTTGATTTGATATTTACCCTAAATGAATGGGATATAAGGGAAGTTAAGATGGAAGCGCCCTTGGGAATGAGTGACCACAGTGTATTGAACTTTGAGTACCTGGTAGAGCTAGGACTTATCTCCCCCCAAAAAGAACTAGGAATCAAAAGGCTGGCATACCGAAAGGGGAATTATGAACAGATGAGAAGTTTCCTAAGTGAAATACCTTGGGACACAGACCTCAGAGACAAGTCTGTACAGGGTATGATGGACTATGTTACCCAAAAGTGTCAGGAGGCAGTAAACAGGTTCATCCCGGCCCAAAGGGAAAAATCCGAGAAGCAACAGAAGAATCCATGGTATAATAGGGCATGTATGGAAGCGAAGAAACTGAACAAAAAGGCATGGAGGAACTTCCAGAATAACAGAACACCAGAAAGCAGAGAGAGATACTAGAGAACCAGGAATGAGTACGTCAGGGTGAGAAGAGAAGCAGAGAAAAATTTTGAAAATGATATAGCAAACGAAGCCAAGACCGAACCAAAGCTACTCCACAGTCACATCAGAAGGAAAACAACAGTGAAAGAACAGGTATTGAAACTTAGAACAGGCGAGGATAGGTATACAGAGAATGACAGAGAGGTGTGTGAGGATCTCAACAAGAGGTTCCAGGAGGTCTTCACAATAGAACAGGGTGAGGTAACTGTGCTAGGAGAAAGGGAGGTAAACCAGGCAGCCTTGGAAGAGTTCGAAATTACGAGAGAGGAGGTCAAGAGACACCTGCTGGATCTGGATGTTAGAAAGGCTGTTGGTCCAGATGGGATCTCACCATGGGTACTGAAAGAGTGTGCAGAGGCACTTTGCTTGCCACTCTCCATAGTGTATAGTAAGTCACTAGAGACGGGAGACGTACCAGAAACATGGAAGACGGCGAATGTGGTCCCAATATACAAAAAGGGCGACAGACAAGAGGCACTGAACTACAGGCCAGTGTCCTTGACTTGTACACCATGCAAGGTGATGGAGAAGATCGTGAGAAAAAACCTGGTAACACATCTGGAGAGAAGGGACTTCGTGACAAATCGCCAACATGGATTCAGGGAGGGTAAATCTTGCCTTACAGGCTTGATAGAATTCTACGATCAGGTGACACAGATTAAGCAAGGAAGAGAGGGCTGGGCGGACTGCATTTTCTTGGATTGTCGGAAAGCCTTTGACACAGTACCGCATAAGAGGCTGGTACATAAGCTGGAGAGACAGGCAGGTGTAGCTGGTAAGGTGCTCCAGTGGATAAGGGAGTATCTAAGCAATAGGAAGCAGAGAGTTACGGTGAGGGGTGAGACCTCCGATTGGCGTGAAGTCACCAGTGGAGTCCCACAGGGCTCTGTACTCGGTCCTATCTTGTTTCTGATATATGTAAATGATCTCCCGGAGGGTATCGATTCATTTCTCTCAATGTTTGCGGACGATGCTAAAATTATGAGAAGGATTAAAACAGAAGAGGACTGTTTGAGGCTTCAAGAAGACCTAGACAGGCTGAAGGAATGGTCGAACAAATGGTTGTTAGAGTTTAACCCAACCAAATGTAATGTAATGAAGATAGGTGTAGGGAGCAGGAGGCCAGATACAAGGTATCATCTGGGAGAGGAAATTCTTCAGGAGTCAGAGAAGGAAAAAGACTTGGGGGTTGATATCACGCCAGACCTGTCCCCTGCAGCACATATCAAGCGGATAACATCAGCGGCATATGCCAGGCTGGCCAACATACGAACGGCATTCAGAAATTTGTGTAAAGAATCATTCAGAACTTTGTATAAAACATATGTCAGGCCAATCCTGGAGTATGCAGCCCCAGCATGGAGTCCATATCTAGTCAAGGATAAGACTAAACTGGAAAAGGTTCAAAGGTTTGCCACCAGACTAGTACCCGAGCTGAGAGGTATGAGCTACGAGGAGAGACTACGGGAATTAAACCTCACTTCGCTGGAAGACAGAAGAGTTAGGAGGGACATGATCACCACATTCAAGATTCTGAAGGGAATTGATAGGGTAGATAAAGACAGTCTATTTAACACAAAGGGAACACGCACAAGGGGACACAGGTGGAAACTGAGTGCCCAAATGAGCCACAGAGATATTAGAAAGAACTTTTTTAGTGTCAGAGTGGTTGACAAATGGAATGCATTAGGAGGTGATGTGGTGGAGGCTGACTCCATACACAGTTTCAAGTGTAGATATGACAGAGCCCGATAGGCTCAGGAATATGTACACCTGTTGATTGACGGTTGAGAGGCGGGACCAAAGAGCCAGAGCTCAACCCCCGCAAACACAACTAGGTGAGTACAACTAGGTGAGTACACGCACACACACACACACACACACACACACACACACACACACACACACACATACACACACACACACACACTCACACACACACACACACACACACACACACACACACACACACACACTCACACACACACACACACACACACATACACATACACACATACACATACACACACACACACACACACACACACACACACACACTCACACACACAGAACTAAGAGGCATGAGTTACGAGGAAAGGCTACGTGAAATGCACCTCACGACCTGGAAGACAGAAGAGTAAGGGGAGACATGATCACAACCTACAAAATTCTCAGAGGATTGACCGGGTGGATAAGGATAAACTGTTTAACACGGGTGGTACGCGAACAAGGGGACACAGGTGGAAACTGAGTACCCACATGAGCCACAGGGACGTTAAAAAAAACTTGTTCAGTGTCAGAGTAGTTAACAGGTGGAATGCATTAGGCAGTGATGTGGTGGAGGCTGACTCCATACACAGTTTCAAGTGTAGATATGATAGAGCCCAGTAGGCTCAGGAATCTGTACACCAGTTGATTGACAATTGAGAGGCGGGACCAAAGAGCCAGAGCTCAACCCTAACAAGCAAAATTAGGTGAGTACAACTAGGTGAGTACACAATGCCCTGATTTCAGCCCGTCCTCCTAAGGTTACCCAAAGTCAAGAAAGCGGCCAATTTAAAGTGTCCTCTCCTAACCTACCAGAGGACCACAAAACAGAAAATGGAACAGTACGTCACTTTCGCGAGCCTCTCCCATTTTCTCGAACGACAATTTTTAGCCTTATGTAACGCATAGGAGCGAAAAGCGACGTTCTTTGCAGGAGGACAGGTTGCTGATCTCCCGCCTAGATGGCACCACACGCCCACGTTCCTGTCTTACTGTACATAACAAAAGATTTCTTCCTCGCAGGAAGCTGAACTCAAGCTTCCCTCGGCTGGAACTGGACACGCTGGACACACACAGCTGGACACACACAGCTGTATAAATGGATCAAGTCTCATGCTTCAACGATAGATAACAATTATTTCCTTTTTCCATGATAATACAATGAGCCAGATCTTGATGTTGCTAGTGATGAAGTCGTGAGGTGGAGGGTACTTTAGGTAAGGAGTATGAGGGTAAGTACACGGGCTCACCATACCCCGTGCTACTTGGAACTGTTTGTTCTAAGTAGCTGAATCTAAAACAACAACAGCGAGGGCGAGTATTCCCCGATAGTGATGAGTGCGTAGTGTGAGGGAAGTAGGTGTATGCCTCCCAGTGGTGAGGGTCACTATTAATGTAATGGTGATGGTCCTTAGTTACGGGCCTTGTGAGCCCTATAACGGTGAGGATAACCGCATGTCGTTTCCAAGAGTGTGATAAGATATCTAACTCCTTGAAGAGGGGGTTCAAAAGGAATTAGCAATGAGGTAAAGAGGCGGCAAAGCCCCTCTCTAAAGAGGCTTAGAGGAGCAAGGAGTCAAGAGGATAAATAACTGCCTGTAGAGGGGCAGAGCAACTGGTCGGTGAGCACCTGGGGAGTCGGTGGCTGAGCGGACAGAACACTGGACGCGTGATCCTGTGGTCCCGGGTTCGAACCCAGGCGCCGGCGAGAAACGATGGGCAGAGTTTCTTTCACCCTATATCCCTGTTACCTAGCAGTAAAACAGATACCTGGGTGTTAGTCAGCTGTCACGGGCTGCTTCCTGGGGGTGGAGGCCTGGTCGAGGACCGGGCCGCGGGGACACTAAAAGCCCCGAAATCATCTCAAGATAACCTCAAGATAACCTCAAGATAGCTGAACATCTCCGGACAGAAGACTAAGCAATGTCGTCATGAATTAACACACAACAGCAAGAGATGAAGTCACAGATGAGACGAATGTATTTTTCTTTCATAAACTGATGCATTCTGATGAAAGCACAGTGTATACTGGCCTGAATAAGTACATGACAAGTGGGCAATGCATTTGTGAATGAGCTAATAAATCATGTGAGTAATTCCTCTCAGCATTAAGTAACGCATTATGAGAGATGGGAATGCAACATCTGAGAGCGAGGGCAGTATCTAAACAGCATCCAGGCAGCATCCAGGCAACATCCCGGCAGCATCCAGGCAACATCCCGGCAGCATCCAGGCAACATCCAGGCAACATCCCGGCAACATCCCGGCAGCATCCAGGCAACATCCAGGCAACATCCCGGCAACATCCAGGCAGCATCCAGGCAGCATCCAGGCAACATCCCGGCAACATCCAGGCAGCATCCCGGCAGCATCCCGGCAGCATCCAGGCAATATTGCGGCAACATCCAGGCAGCATCCCGGCAGCATCCCGGCAACATCCCGGCAGCATCCAGGCAACATCCCGGCAGCATCCAGGCAACATCCCGGCAGCATCCCGGCAGCATCCCGGCAGCATCCAGGCAATACCCCGGCAGCATCCCGGCAGCATCCCGGCAACATCCAGGCAACATCCCGGCAGCATCCCGGCAGCATCCCGGCAGCATCCAGGCAACATCCCGGCAGCATCCCGGCAACATCCAGGCAACATCCCGGCAGCATCCCGGCAGCATCCAGGCAACATCCCGGCAACATCCCGGCAGCATCCCGGCAGCATCCCGGCAGCATCCAGGCAACATCCCGGCAGCATCCCGGCAACATCCAGGCAACATCCCGGCAGCATCCCGGCAGCATCCAGGCAACATCCCGGCAACATCCCGGCAGCATCCAGGCAACATCCAGGCAACATCCCGGCAGCATCCCGGCAACATCCCGGCAGCATCCCGGCAGCATCCAGGAAACATCCCGGCAGCATCCAGGCAACATCCAGGCAACATCCCAGCAGCATCCAGGCAACATCCCGGCAACATCCCGGCAGCATCCAGGCAACATCCCGGCAGCATCCAGGCAACATCCCGGCAGCATCCAGGCAACATCCCGGCAGCATCCCGGCAACATCCCGGCAGCATCCAGGCAGCATCCCGGCAACATCCAAGCAACATCCCGGCAACATCCCGGCAGCATCCCAGCAGCATCCAGGCAGCATCCAGGCAACATCCCGGCAGCATCCAGGCAGCATCCAGGCAACATCCCGGCAACATCCCGGCAGCATCCAGGCACCATCCCGGCAGCATCCAGGCAACATCCCGGCAGCATCCAGGCAACATCCCGGCAGCATCCAGGCAGCATCCCGGCAGCATCCGGGCAACATCCCGGCAGCATCCAGGCAACATCCCAGCAGCATCCAGGCAACATCCCGGCAACATTCCAGCAACATCCCGGCAGCATCACGGCAACATCAAGGCCACATCCAGGCAACATTCCGGCAGCTTCCCCTCAGCATCCCGGCAACATCCCGGCAGCATCCCGGCAGCATCCCGGCAGCATCCAGGCAACATCCCGGCAGCATCCAGGCAACATCCAGGCAACATCCCGGCAGCATCCAGGCAGCATCCAGGCAACATCCCGGCAACATCCCGGCAGCATCCAGGCAACATCCCGGCAGCATCCAGGCAACATCCCGGCAGCATCCAGGCAACATCCCGGCAGCATCCAGGCAACATCCCGGCAGCATCCAGGCAACATCCCGGCAGCATCCAGGCAGCATCCCGGCAACATCCAGGCAACATCCCGGCAACATCCCGGCAACATCCCCCCAGCATCCAGGCAACATCCCGGCAGCATCCAGGCAGCATCCAGGCAACATCCCGGCAGCATCCAGGCAGCATCCAGGCAACATCCCGGCAACATCCCGGCAGCATCCAGGCACCATCCCGGCAGCATCCAGGCAACATCCCGGCTGCATCCAGGCAACATCCCGGCCGCATCCAGGCAGCATCCCGGCAGCATCCAGGCAACATCCCGGCAGCATCCAGGCAACATCCCAGCAGCATCCCAGCAACATCCCGGCAGCATCACGGCAACATCCCGGCAACATCCAGGTAACATCCCGGCAGCATCCAGGCAACATCCCGGCAACATCCCAGCAACATCCCGGCAGCATCCAGGCAGCATCCCGGCAACATTCCGGCAGCATCCCGGCAACATCCCGGCAGCATCCCGGCAGCATCCAGGCAACATCCCGGCAGCATCACGGCAACATCCAGGCAACATCCCGGCAGCATCCAGGCAGCATCCAGGCAACATCCCAGTAGCATCCAGGCAACATCCCAGCAGCATCCAGGCAACATCCCGGCAACATCACAGCAACATCCCGGCAGCATCCAGGCAACATCCCGGCAACATCCTGGCAACATCCAGGCAGCATCCAGGCAACATCCCGGCAACATCCCGGCAGCATCCAGGCAACATCCCGGCAACATCCCGGCAACATCCAGGCAGCATCCAGGCAACATCCCGGCAACATCCCGGCAACATCCAGGCAGCATCCAGGCAACATCCCGGCAACATCCAGGCAACATCCCGGCAGCATCCAGCCAACATCCCGGCATCATCCCAGCAACATCCAGGCAACATCCCGGCAGCATCCAGGCAACATCCCGGCAGCATCCCGGCAGCATCCAGGCAACATCCCGGCAGCATCCAGGCAACATCCAGGCAACATCCCGGCAGCATCCAGGCAGCATCCAGGCAACATCCCGGCAACATCCCGGCAGCATCCAGGCAACATCCCGGCATCATCCAGGCATCATCCCGGCAGCATCCAGGCAACATCCCGGCAGCATCCAGGCAACATCCCGGCAGCATCCAGGCAACATCCCGGCAGCATCCAGGCAGCATCCCGGCAACATCCAGGCAACATCCCGGCAACATCCCGGCAACATCCCAACAGCATCCAGGCAACATCCCGGCAGCATCCAGGCAGCATCCAGGCAACATCCCGGCAGCATCCAGGCAGCATCCAGGCAACATCCCGGCAACATCCCGGCAGCATCCAGGCACCATCCCGGCAGCATCCAGGCAACATCCCGGCTGCATCCAGGCAACATCCCGGCCGCATCCAGGCAGCATCCCGGCAGCATCCAGGCAACATCCCGGCAGCATCCAGGCAACATCCCAGCAGCATCCCAGCAACATCCCGGCAGCATCACGGCAACATCCCGGCAACATCCAGGTAACATCCCGGCAGCATCCAGGCAACATCCCGGCAACATCCCGGCAGCATCCAGGCAGCATCCCGGCAACATCCCGGCAGCATCCCGGCAACATCCCGGCAGCATCCCGGCAGCATCCAGGCAACATCCCGGCAGCATCACGGCAACATCCAGGCAACATCCCGGCAGCATCCAGGCAGCATCCAGGCAACATCCAGGCAACATCCCAGCAGCATCCAGGCAACATCCCGGCAACATCACAGCAACATCCCGGCAGCATCCAGGCAACATCCCGGCAACATCCAGGCAACATCCAGGCAGCATCCAGGCAACATCCCGGCAACATCCCGGCAGCATCCAGGCAACATCCCGGCAACATCCTGGCAACATCCAGGCAGCATCCAGGCAACATCCCGGCAACATCCCGGCAGCATCCAGGCAACATCCCGGCAACATCCCGGCAACATCCAGGCAGCATCCAGGCAACATCCCGGCAACATCCCGGCAACATCCAGGCAGCATCCAGGCAACATCCCGGCAACATCCAGGCAACATCCCGGCAGCATCCCGGCATCATCCCAGCAACATCCAGGCAACATCCCGGCAGCATCCAGGCAACATCCCGGCAACATCCAGGCAACATCCCGGCAACATCCAGGCAACATCCCGGCAGCATCACGGCAACATCCCGGCAGCATCCAGGCAACATTACCGCAACATCCAGGCAACATCCCGGCAGCATCCAGCCAACATCCCGGCAGCATCCCAGCAACATCCCGGCAACATCCAGGCAACATCCCGGCAGCATCCAGGCAATATCCCGGCAACATCCAGGCAACATCCCGGCAACATCCAGGCAACATCCCGGCAACATCCCGGCAACATCCCGGCAGCATCCCAGCAGCATCCCGGCAGCATCCAGGCAACATCCCGGCAACATCCCGGCAACATCCCAGCATCATCCCAGCAGCATCCCGGCAGCATCCCGGGAACATCCCAGCAACATCCCAGCAGCATCCCGGCAACATCCCAGCAACATCCCGGCAACATCCCGGCAGCATTCCAGCAGCATCCCGGCAGCATCCAGGCAACATCCCAGCAACATCCCGGCAACATCCCGGCAACATCCCGGCAGCATCCCAGCAACATCCCGGCAGCATCCCGGCAACATCCCAGCAACATCCCGGCAACATCCCGGCAACATCCAGGCAACAACCCGGCAACATCCAGGCAACATCCTGGCAACATCCCGGCAACATCCCGGCAGCATCCAAGCAGCATCCCGGCAGCATCCCGGCAGCATCCCGGCAACATCCCAGCAACATCCCGGCAACATCCCGGCAGCAAGATGTGTTACAATGCTAGCTTCCTGCTGCCAGGTCCTGCCCTTGTCCGGGACCACCAATCACTACACTGCCTCATTAGGGCCATTGTGCTCGCTCACACCTCACCCAATAACAGTGCAACTGGCCAACCTCTTTGTTTACACTCCACACTCCATACACTGTTTACACTCCACACTCCATACACTGTTTACACTCCACACTCCATACACTGTTTACACTCCACACTCCATACACTCCACACTCCATACACTGTTTACACTCCACACTCCATACACTCTTTACACTCCACACTCCATACACTCTTTACACTCCACACTCCATACACTCTTTACACTCCACACTCCATACACTCTTTACACTCCACACTCCATACACTCTTTACACTCCATACACTCTTTACACTCCACACTCCATACACTGTTTACACTCCACACTCCATACACTCTTTACACTCCATACACTCTTTACACTCCACACTCCATACACTGTTTACACTCCACACTCCATACACTCCACACTCCATACACTCTTTACACTCCACACTCCTTACACTGTTTACACTTCACACTCCATACACTCTTTACACTCCACACTCCATACACTGTTTACACTCCACACTCCATACACTGTTTACACTTCACACTCTATACACTCTTTACACTCCACACTCCATACACTGTTTACACTCCACACTCCATACACTGTTTACACTCCACACTCCTTACACTGTTTACACTTCACACTCCATACACTGTTTACACTCCACACTCCATACACTGTTTACACTTCACACTCCATACACTCTTTACACTCCACACTCCATACACTCTTTACACTCCACACTCCTTACACTGTTTACACTCCACACTCCATACACTGTTTACACTCCACACTCCATACACTCTTTACACTCCATACACTCTTTACACTCCACACTCCATACACTGTTTACACTCCACACTCCATACACTCTTTACACTCCACACTCCTTACACTGTTTACACTTCACACTCCATACACTCTTTACACTCCACACTCCATACACTGTTTACACTCCACACTCCATACACTGTTTACACTTCACACTCCATACACTCTTTACACTCCACACTCCATACACTGTTTACACTTCACACTCCATACACTGTTTACACTCCACACTCTATACACTGTTTACACTCCACACTCTATACACTGTTTACACTCCACACTCCATACACTGTTTACACTCCACACTACTCTTCTCATTGCACTTTATTGATTTCCATTCTTATGTCTCGTTGGAGTAATGTGTATACGTATAATAATTAGGTTAGATTGGCCAAATAAGCAAACGTTTACATTATTCCTTGACTGAAGTATAATATAATTATTTATTTATGGTTAGTTGAAAATAACAAATAAACCTGGATAAAAAAATAATATAATTGTGCTTTTTGTTGAGAGGAAATGTGATGTGCTGGAGTACACTATTTATACGGTGTGTTTCCAGAAGTAACTCATACCATATATATATATATATATATATATATATATATATATATATATATATATATATATATATATATATATATATATATATATTATTAAATATGACCGAAAAAGTAAGATTAATAATTCTAACACGAATTTTCTGTTTCTTATATTTCTTTTCACTGTT